ATTCTCTCTCTCCCTCTCTGTCTCTGCCCCTTCCCTGCTCCTTGCTCTCTCTCAAAATAAATAAACTTAAGAAAAAAAAAATCCCTTCACCTCTCAAAACCTATGGTGGGATTTCTAGTTACATACTTAAAACAGTGAAATTGTATTACAATAAGGAGTTTTGGGTGGTTTGTTTTTATATACTTATTTATTATATAAATGCTCCTGTCCTTAGTATCTTTGTCCTTATAATGACAACTTTTTATGGGATTTGACCACGGTCCTTTGTTGTTTGTGATTTTCATGTGGAATCCGTTATCCCAAGCTTGTAAAAGAGGGACACTCTTAAGGATAATTTTCAAGGTTCATGGCTCTGGGGCACCCTCTTCTGTTATTTTAAAGTGCCAAAATATGGACCTTTTCACTTGCAGTAAGTCCCTGCCTCCTCACTCTACACCCCTCACCTAATCTCACCTTTTTATCCCCCCTCTCTTCACTGTCTCTGTTCTGCATGGTTTGGATTCTGCCTCTGGCAATTTCTCTTCAGAGTGGAGTTGTGTCCTGTGAGGAGCTTTGCCCAGTTACTTCTGAGAGTTTCTGGGGTCCAGACGTACTTGCCCCTTCAAGCTTTTCTGTGAACTTCCTGTACCTGATAGCTGTCGGTGTGCCTAAGACCCAACATTTCTGGCAGCTGCTCTCAGTGGGCCTTGCCCACTTCATGAGCACCTGCTCTTTGTTTTGGGATGCTCAGGTCTGTCAGGTGCCCTGCTGACTCCCTCTGCTTCCTCTCCTAGGTGCTGGTACCATTCAGGACTTGCGATTCTTGCTGTGTTCCCATCCTATCCTAATTCTTGCTATTCTTGCCCATGTTGGGGGCTTTGTGGAGATAGCTCACCCCCTAGGTTTTTGTGGGTGTGTTCCCTGGAGTTTTGATCATGCCGTCCTAAATTGCTCTGTGTGTGTTTTCTATGGGGAAATTTGGGAAAACTAAAAAACCATGCCACTATGGGTACCATCTTCCCGGTGACCTCCCTGGGTTTTGTTTTGAACAGCTGCCATCCCCTGGTTATAAGCATGTCCTTTGCTCATTCTCTTGGGAGCCTGGGAGCTGCCTTCCAGCAGGAGATGGCAGCTGGTGATTCGCTAGGCTGATCTCAGGTCCCATGCCCATGGCTAGAGCTGAATGATATATTCCCTCAACTCAAAATGTTGTCCTCCTTATCTCTGGCTCACAGATACCCTCCCTCTCTCTCTCCTCCATTGCTGGTGTTTTTCCTGTGCTCCTGTGACATCTTATGAATGCACATACACACACATCACACTTTTTAAAGTATATGTTTGCTTCTCTGTTTGTTCTTAGGACTCTGGCTTCATAAGGTGAGGGGCCTTGTCTTGTTTGTTTTTGTACTCCCCAGTACCTGAACTGGTGACTGACACTCTGTAGCTACTCAAGAATTAGTTGCTGAAGAAATCTTGGCAACAGTGTAGGAATGTTAGCAGGGAACAAAAGCAGTCCTGCCCCCTTCAGATATATTGTAGGACAGACAGATGAAAGATCAGTGCCATTTAAGGAGGGAAGCCTGGGTGGCCTGTTGGTTTAGCATCCAACTCTTCATCTCTGCTCAGGTCATGATCTCACAGTATGAGATCGAGCCCTGCGTTGGGCTATGGGGTGAGCGTGCAGTCTGCTTGGAATTCTGTCTCTCTGTCTCTCCGTCTCTCTCCCTCCTTTGCGTGCATGCTCTCTCTCTCTCAAAATAAATAAATAAACAAAAAAGTTATATTTATAGAAAGAAATGTGTCCAGAGAAGGAACTAAAAATAAAAGTGCTTTTTAATTTTTAATTTTATTTTCAAAATTTGTGGTGTGGAGGAGGTGGCACAGGCTTAGTCCCTCTCAGCAAGTTCATTTTGAGTATAACTAAAAAAGGTTACTGGCATTTAAGAAATGTAGAGGAAGCAATAATGTTTAAGGAATTGGACGTTTGTGCTCATGAAGGATGCAATATGGTTAATTTGGGTAGAAGACATCATCGCAGTCTCTGGCATAGGGTAGACTGGCCCAGTGTGATTTCCACATCTCACTTGAGGGCAGAGGGTGGACCTGGGCTACTCAGGTTCCTTCCTGTTCAATAATTGTTTCCCTGTTAATGAAGTTCTCTCCCTCTGGTGACTTGTGAGTTTGGGGAGTGTCTTAAAGTCGGCCAGATAACCAACAGCCATTTAATGGTCTGTGAGTTTTCTGGAAAGTGGAAGGTGATGGTGTTAAAACCTCAGTAACCAAGGAAACCAGTTCCGTGCTGGTGGACGAGAGGAGCGGAAATTTAACTGAGGCCGTCAAAAGAAAATCTGGCCATTTCCAGCATTAAGCCCAGGCAGTGAAATCCCAGGGAAGATGGGGCAGAGGCACATGTCCCTGATGTATCAATTGCCCCCTTAAGAGAAAGGGAACTGTCAGGGGCTGTGGTCAAGGTGAGCGTGGTTTGTACACTAAGCTTGCCCAAGAATGCTCAGAGTCTACATGCAGCCCTCCTATCAACATTGATGTGTGTGTGTGTGTGTGTGTGTGTGTGTGTGTGTGTGTGCGCGCGCGCGGGCATGCGCATGGGAGATGGGCAGAGAGAGAGAGAGAGAATCCTAAACAGGCTTTGAGATACGGGGCTTGATCCCACAACCCTGGGAGCATGACCTGAGCTGAAATCAAGACTCAGATGCTTAACTGAGCCACCCAGGCGCCGCAGATAATTTCGTGTATACAAAATCTTTTAATTAAATGATTTAACAAAGAGAAGTTTTTGCTCAAAGGACTCTTAGTTGTATCTCTGGTTATCGTACGTCTCTCTATTGTGCGTGTCAATAGATTGGCAGAGCAAAATGCTGACTTTTTTCTTAGAACCACACCGAGAAGCAGACGGTCTTTATAGTTCCATTCTTTACCTTCTTTACTAGAAACATTGTTGACATTGACCTAACTCACAGAATTTTACCTGGAGGTTGGGACTTGCAAGGTTGAGTAATTTGGTCGTTTTTAAAACCTTTTTTAGTCTGAATTCTTACATGAAGTTCAAGTTGTAAAGCAGATAAAATGAAACTGATTCTATTGCCACTTCCCTCACCTTTCCACAAGGACCTCGTAAAGGGACCTTCACTAAGTATAGTTTAAAATTGCCATTTAGTCCAATGAAAGTTACTGCAGTCTAATTTCCAAACTACCCTTAAATTACAGCAGCATAAACTCTTAGGGTCTTTGCGATGAGCTATCCCATAGTCTAGCCCTTCTGTGGACTGCTGGCAAATGGTAATTTCCTTTCTGTGTCTCCTCTTTTTAGCCAACTCTCCGAAACAAAATAATACAGGTGAGAAAGATAAGATACAAGGACTTGGAGAAAGAAAGATAAGGGCTGGGGATGAGTGAAGAGGCCTGGCAGAAGTGTCACTGAGTAGCTGTTTTGAGGATGGGGGTACCACTTTTTCTGTTCGCAGATTCCTCTGTCTCCTCTTCCCATAAACTGATCACAAGGAAGGACAAGAAAAGAAGCTGTAGATAATTCTCTTGTTAGAGAAACATCTGAATTTGATTATGGTCTAAATCACTTTTTCCCCATTCATACTGGCTAGAGAGAATTGTGGAGCTCAAATACTGTGAACATTGTTCTGGGCTCAATAGGTAATGTAGATATACGTGCCATATATTGCATTTATTGTTTTATTTTTCAAGTATGATCACACTCTAATGCATATTTTTATGTAATACACAACGACAAACTTATTAGTTTACTTGTATACTAGTTATATAGTATATATATATATATAAATATATATATATATGTTTTTTTAATTTAATTTATAGCTGAAATTTGGCTTCTTGAAATACTACATAAAATTATTATTATTGAAAAAATTTAATGTTTTTATTTTGTTTTTGAGAGAGAGACAGAGCATGAGCAGGGGAGGAGCAGAGAGAGAGGGAGACACAGAATCTGAAGCAGGTTCCAGGCTGTGAGCTGTCAGCACAGAGCCTGACGTGGGGCTCAAACTCACGGACTGTAAGATTGTGACCTGAGCCAAAGTTGGACGCTTAACCGACTGAGCCACCCAGGCGCCCCCTACATAAAAATTATTTTTGCTAGCACACTTCTCTAATACCAAAAACTGTCAGTGAACTCTTCAATTATGATTTATACATTTTTCTGTTGTTAAGAATATTTAAAGTGGTGAAGCATCAGCTGTTTCACAAAATGAGTATAGAAGATAAAAAAAATGACCTTAATAGGGTCATAAATATAAAAGTTGGCAATTAGACTATTAAGTAATGATCTATTTTAAAGCTTGGTAACATTTAAAAATTTTAAAGTTAAGGTGAATTAATATAATTTTCCAATTTTATACATTGTAACATTTTTGGTTGAATATATTTGACATTATTACCTAATTATTGAAATCAGTTCCCAGTGACTTTCTGTTCAAGAGTTTCCTTAAATTTTCTCTTGTATATCTTTCTATCCTGTTGCTTTTTAGGATATAATTACATTTTGTGAGAAACATAGGAAGTAGTTGAAAAATGTGTGATTGACTGTGTTCAGCCTCCTTATTAGGGAAGCCATTTCCACATCCCTTACTCCAGCAGAAAGTAAAATAAGGACCTTCAAAAGTTAGATTTCTGGGGCGCCTGGGTGGCCCAGTTGCTTAAGTGCCGACTTCGGCTCAGGTCATGATCTTGCAGTTCGTGAGTTCAAGCCCCACATCAGGCTCTGTACTGACAGCTCAGAGCCTGGATCCTGCTTCGGATTCTGTGTCTCCCTCTCTTTGCTCCCTCCCCACTCATGGTCTGTCTCTCTCTGTCTCTCAAAGATAAATAAACATTATTATTATTATTATTTTTTACAAAAAGAATCTTAAGTATAAAAGGCTTTCCATAGGCTCTTGTTTAGTTGTTAAGTGTTACTAGTAACTTCCCAAGTTTTATTGGCTTATCCGAGGGCTCTTCATGATAAAGATAATCTTTAAATACTCTCTTGGCCAATGGTCGCCCTTTTGAAAGAAAAGGTAAGAGGATATTTAAAAAACAGCGTTGCCCAAACATACTGTTCAGTCCAGTTAAATTAAGCAGATTGTAATTTAATGTAAATTATAGTTGTAAATTAAATAGCAGTATAGCTGCGGTGAGTAAAGCTTTTATTGACTCCGTTGTGCATATGGTACCTTTTATCTCGTTCTTCTATCCATCATCGAAAGTGGGGTATTGATGCCTCTACCTATTATTGTTGAACAATTCCCCTCGTTAATTCAGTCAGTGTTTGCTGCATGTATGGTGAGCAGAGAGCCTGATACAGGGCATGAACCCATGAACTGTGAGATCATGACTTGAGCCGAAGTCAGACGCTCACCTGACTGAGCCACCCAGATGCCCCTATAATTTTACCTTTTAAAGAATGAGAGAAGAAAGAAGAAGCATAAGCATGTATTGATAACTTTTGTTATATTAGCTTCTTATTTCCTATTGCTAGTTTTGTACATTTGTTTCTGATATTCGAGTTCCTGTACAAAGTCCTGTCCTTCCTGCAATACAGTTTTGCTCCCACCCACCTCCTTTGTGCTATTATTGGCAAATATTTTGTTGGGCCCATAACATATGGAAACATAATTAAGCACATATTGTTTTAAATTGCTTTTAAAGTCAGTTATGGGAGGAGAGGCTGTATTAGATACGATTTGTAAATATTTTCTCCTATTCCGTAAGTTCCCTTCTCATTTTTCAGTTAAGCTTTTAATTTTAATTCCAGTATAGTTAACATACAGTGTTATATTAGTTTCAGGTGTACAATACGATGATTCAATAATTTTATACATCGCTCAGTGCTCATCATGAGACGTGTACTCTTTAATCCCCATCACCTATTTCCCCCATCCCTCATCCATGTCACCTCTGGTAACCATCAGTTTGTTCTCTATGGCTAGGCGTGTGTTTATTGGTTTGTCTCTCTATCTTACGTTTTTCCTCTGCTCATTTTTTTGTTTCCTAAATTCCACATATGAGTGAAATTGTATGGTATTTGTTTTTCTCTGACTGGCTTATTTCACTTAGCATAATACTTTCTAGCTCCATCCACGTCATTGCAAATGGCAAGATTTCATTCCTTTTTATGGCTGAGTAATATTCCATCATCTGTGTCTATATCTATCTGTATCTACAGCTATATCTAATTTACTTATATTTATATTTAGATATAGGTATACACACATACACATACACCACATATTTATGTATTTCTCTATTGATGGACACTTGGGCTGCTTCCATAATTTGGCTATTGTAAATAATGCTGCAATAAACATAGAGGTGCATGTATCCCTTTGAATTAATATTTGTGTATTTTTTGGGTAAATATCCAGAAGTGTGATTGTTGGATTGTAGGGTAGTTCTATTTTAAATTTTTTTGCCATGTTTTCTAGAGTTGCTGCACCAGTTTGCATTTCCACCAATAGTGCATGAGGGCTCCTTTTTCTCCACATCCGCACCAACACTTGTTGTTTCTTGTATTGTTGATTCTAGCCATTCTGACAGGTGTGAGGTGATATCTCGTTGTAGTTTTGATTTGCATTTCCCTGTTGATAAATGATGTTGATGCCTTTTCATTCTGTTGATGGTCTCCTTTGCTGTACAGAGGCTTTTTAGTTTGATGTATTCTCACTGGTTTACTTTTGTTCTGTTGCCTTTGCTTTGGTGTCTAATCCAAAAAATTGCCTAGACTGATGTCAAGGAGCTTACCACCTATATTTTTCTTCTAGAAGTTTTATGGTTTCAGGTCTTACACTCAAGTATTTAATCCACTGTTTTTTTTTTTTTTGAACAGCAGCAGGCCAAAGTTTATTAGAATTTATTAGAATTAGAAAGGAAGAATAGTAGGAAAGCTCTCTTTACAGAGAGGGGACACTTGAAAGTGAATGCCCCCTCAAGTATTGAATCCATTTTGAGTTGACTTTTGTGTAAGGATAAGAAAGTGGTCTAGTTTCATTCTTTTGCATGCAGCTGTCCAGTTTTCCCAGCACCATTTATTGAAGAGACTGTCCTTTCCCCATGGTGTACTGTTTGTCATAAATGACCATATATGTATGGGTTTATTTCAGGTCTCTCTATTCTGTTTCATTGATCTATGTGTCTGTTTTTATGCCATTACCATACTGTTTTGATTACTATAGCTTTGTAATACAGTTTGATACCAGGAAGCATGATGCCTCCAGCTTTGTTGTTCTTTCTTAAGATTGCTTTGGCTATTCAAGGTCCTTTGTGGTTCCATACAAATTTTCAGATTGTTTGTTTTATTTCTGTGGAAAATGTCATTGGAGTTTTGATAGGGATTGCATTGAATCTGTAGATTGCTTTTGGTAGTATGGATATTTTTAACAATAGTCTTTTAATCTGTGATATAGCGTATCTTTCCATTTGTGTCTTCTTTAATCTTTTTCATCAGGATCTTATATTTCAGTATACAAAATTAGCTTACTCATTTTGTAATGATGTTGTTAACATAATAATGATGGCTTTATAGTTTTCACATCGCTTTCATCAGTATTTTCCTGTTTGTTCTGTTTCTTCTGTCTTGCAATTTTGCATATTTTGGCCCAGATTGTTGCAAAATGAACCAAACATAAAATCTATGGGAGTTTTGAAGATACACCTTTCTCTAAGTTACATCAGATGTCTTCTAAGCTTTATTACTCTTTACTACCCTCTTGTGATGGAGGCTAATGACACCTCTTCTCATCTCTGCACTTGGGTCGGGGGTAATGAGATCATTATTCAGTGATTCTTGTAAGTTGGGGATTGGTGAGTCATTTAGCTGTTGGAGGCCCCAGCCTATTATACACACGTCGTAAATACTAAATGATGGTGAGGGCAGGGCCGTTCATTTTTCCTAGGTCCCCTGCCTCCCGTTTCAGGGCTTATGTCACTGTTAGTAGTTCCTCAGGTGTTTCAGATCATCATCCTCTTTAGCATCAAGCTAATTACTCTGCCCAGGCTTACATTTTTGCCATGTGTTAGGGCGATGTTCACAAGTTTTGTGCTAACTGGATAAGTCTTTCTGAACTCTGTGTACCCAGTGGACCAACAAAGGAAAATTGGATTTTCCCAGATTAAACCCTGCTAGTATTTTCAGCTCTAGTTCAGTCCTCCCCAGTTCTCATCAGTTATGAAGCTGTTTTCTTTAGAACCTTCCTGGTATTTATTATCTAAACAGGAGATCTTACTCAAGCACATACCTTGAATCTGCTACCATCTTTTAATTCTGAGAATCTCTCAGGAATGGCAGGAAACCTGGAGGTTTCAGGGCATCTTTGCAATCCCTAGATTATGATGTAGTTTGCCATCTCTTTGTGCCATCAAGGAGGCTTCTGATGATATTTGAGGGCTGTGAGTAATCTTGAAAGGTCAATACTCTATCCTTTCATGAAAGCTTACTAAATTTGATCCAGGTGAGAATTACTGACTAGCGTTAAACCTGTTTGGGGAATTAGAAATTTGTAGCAGACAAAATAATACCACGCAGTCGAGTTCCTAGATGCAAGGGGGGAAACCTACGTGTACAGCGGGTGGATCAGACTTCGTCCAAACTCGTTGGGTAATCTTAGCATTACTTATGTTGGGTCAGACATTTATCACCTGTCCTTTCATGTGGTGTAACATAAGGTTCAGAGCACCATCTATGCTGTATTTTAACTAAAAAATATTTAACTTGACCGCATTGGGCATTCAGATTTTTAGGGCTTTTTTTTTTTTTTTAATCCATTATTTCCATAAACCATACCGCAAGGAAGCAGCCAAACAAAGGATGGGTCCTTCTGCACCCTACGTGTACTGGTCTCTTCAATAAATCAATGTCTTAAAGATAGAGATGGAACTAGAATCAAAGGGATTTAAGGGACAGTGAGATACAGGGCATGATCTCGACGAGGATACCAGCTTGGACAAAACCAGCTCTAAAGCAAATTTTTGGAGTCAGACAAATTTGGAAATAGTCTGGATGTTATATGAAATGATATTTACTGAGATGGAGGGATGCAGAATTTTGATGAAAAAATTCTTGTTACAAAAAAATGTATATATAAATAGTGCATATATTTCTAGATGTCTTTCTAAGGTGTTAATAGTGGAACTCCTACTCTCCAGTGATAGGAATGTGGGGTTTTTATTTATCTCTTTGCTTGTCTCTGTTCTTACTTTTCTGCAGTGCACATGCCTCATTTTTGTGTTAACAAAAGCTATCTACAACCTATCTACAGATAGTTTGTTATAATATATTTCACAAGGTTTTTCTTGATGAGGATTTTATAATCTTTGGGATGCTTCTTTGAACCATGACTTTAGATTCTACATGCATCTTTCTTGTTTAAAGTTAATTTTTTATTATAATAGGACAATTTCAAAAAGTAGATAGGATTATATAATTATCAATTGTGCCCAGTTTATTTCCTCTGTACCCACCATTCCTCTCCACCCATTATTATTATTATTATTGTTATTATTTTTAAAACGTTTATCCATTTTTGAGAGACAGAGAGAGACAGATCATGAGCAGGGAAGGGGCAGAGAGAGAGGGAGACAAAGAATTGAAGCAGTGTCCAGGCTCCAAGCCATCAGCACAGAGCCCGACGTGAGGCTCAAACTCACAAACCATGAGATCATGACCTGAGCCAAAGTCGGATGCTCAACCGACTGAGCCACCCAGGCGCCCCTCCACCCATTATTTTGAAGGAAATCCCACATTCTTGTCTTTTCATCTATAAATAGTCAATATTTTTTCCTAAAAAATAAGAACATTAAAAAAAAACATGGTCTGGTATCACCGCAAACAATAAATACATGAAATAATCGTATTCCTTCAATATAATCAAATATCCAGTCATTCACATTTCTCTGTCTCATAAGTGATATTTATCTGTAGTTATATTGTTAGAATCTGACTTCAAATGAGCTCCTGGGAGCCTGCCTAGCTCAATTGGTTAAGTATCTGACTCTGGATTTCAGCTCAGGTCATGATCTCACAGTTTGTGGGTTCGAACCCTGCATCAGACTCTGCACTGACAGTGTGGAGCCTGCTTGGGATTCTCTGTCTCTCTGTCTCTCAAAATAAGTAAATTCACTTAAAGAATAGTAAGAGATTCGTCTCCTTAAAAAAAATAAGTTTCTGACATTACAAATGGTTATGTGTCTATTAAGCTCTTTCAATCTGTAGATATCTCCCTCCTCCCCCAGCATTTTTTCCCTTGCAAATTATTTGTTGAAGAAACTAGGCCCTTCATCTTTTATAATTCCTCACCTTCTGCATTTTTCTGCATGCTCTTTTTTTTAAATATTCAAGACTGGAAGTTGTACTCTTGAATGCACCTGAGCAGAGTTCCCATTTAAAACTTACAAAACTTATTTATTGTGTTTGTAAAATCTGTAAGTGGAAATGGTTGATTTCTATCCTAAAGTCCTCTAAGTTTAAGACTCATATAGCCTTGGGGTGCCTGGGTGGCTCAGTCCGTTGAGCATCTGGCTCTTGATTTCAGTTCAGGTCATTTCATGGTTTGTGAGTTCGAGCCACTCATTGGGCTCTGTGCTGACATTGTGGAACCTGCTTGGGACTCTCCCCCTCTCTCTCTGCCCTCCTAAAATAAATACCCCTCTCAAAATAAGTAAAAATAAGCCTAAAAAAAAAAAAAAAAGACCTGTATAGCCTTGATTGTTTCAATAAGATGAAACAACTAATGGGAAAGGATACACTGGGGTAGCAGGCATTAGCCTTATCAGTTACACAAATTTTTAGACAGGAACTTGCCAGATTTCCTTTGCAAAGTGAAATGAAAAATTTACCCTGAAAATGAATTCAGGACCATGGTACATTGGGGTCCTTTTGAAATATAATTTTGTATCCTCAGCTTGATCTATAAAATGCTCTTTGTCATGATACTGGTATACTATTTTTTGTTTTGTTTTACTTTACTGCTAAGGCTGCTATGGTTGAAATTTCCACTGCCTGTGTATTGATTTGTTTGTAATGATTGCAGGTTGAAGATGACAGTGATGCAGAGACCTTTGGAGAAGAGAATGAGGAACAGGGAAATTATTCTAAAAGAAAGATAGTCTCTAACTGGGATCGATATCAAGATATTGAAAAAGAGGTCAATAATGAAAGTGGAGAATCACAACGGGGGACGGACTTCAGTGTCCTCCTCAGCTCTGCAGGTATGAATTCTGTTGCTTGCCTATGGTTTAGTGCTCTGAAAGTTGCATAGACCTCTTATTTATGTTCCCTTTAAAGCTGCATTAAAAAATTTTTTTTTTAATGTTTATTTTTGAGAGAGACAGAGACAGAACGCGAATGGGTCAGGGGCAGAGAGAGAGGGAGACACAGAATCTGAAGCAGGCTCCAGGCTCTGAGCTGTCAGCACAGAGCCCGACGCGGGGCTCGAACTCACGAACTGTGAGATCATGACCTGAGCAGAAGTTGGATGCTCAACTGACTGAGCTGCCCAGGCGCCCCATAAAGCTGCATTTTAGTAACTAGCAATTCATCCTTTTGTCCTTTGGGTTTTAAATTCAAGTAAAGGACAGTGTGTCTAATGGTTTGCAAGGGAAAAAGATGTTTCATTAAGGGGAAGCCAGGGATTCCATGTACTGATGAGGAAGGACTTAAGGCCTGGTTGAAATGGATAAAAGGCTTTACAGAAATGAAAATGCTGAACCGTGCCCCTCTAAGTTGGCTAGTCTGAAAACAGAAGTGTTTTCTTTGATATCAGAGGAATCAATGATTACGTTTATACAAAGCTTTAGCAAGCTTCTAGAGTATGTGTTCTTTTCCCTTTTATAGCCAGGAATATGCATATTCGTGGATATGCACATATTAGAGTCCTGTGTACCTGAACACGAAAACTTTTCTGTTTTGTTTTTGGACAGTCTTCTCTATCAATAAGGTGAAATGCTCATTCCTTCTATGCCCAGCTGTTGTTTTAAGATTGACTCTACCCTGAACGATGTGCAGCAGTGTGAAGGTGGAGTAGGAGAGTAGTTACAGAGAGTGATGGAACAGAGCTGGCTGGGGAGATGGCTGCTCTCTCCTAGAGTGTGGCGTAAGAATCGGAAGGACGAAAGGAGGATGGAGTATCGGTTTTCAGGGGTTTGGGATGGGAGGGTGGGAAGTGGATGTGGTTATAAAATGGCAACGTGAAGGTTCTTTTTTTTTTTTTTTAATTTTTTTTTTCAACGTTTTTTATTTATTTTTGGGACAGAGAGAGACAGAGCATGAACAGGGGAGGGGCAGAGAGAGAGGGAGACACAGAATCGGAAACAGGCTCCAGGCTCCGAGCCATCAGCCCAGAGCCTGACGCGGGGCTTGAACTTGCGGACCGCGAGATCGTGACCTGGCTGAAGTCGGACGCTTAACCGACTGTGCCACCCAGGCGCCCCGCAACGTGAAGGTTCTTGATAGTGCTGGTACGATCTTTTGTCTTGTGGTAGTAGGTAGACAAACCTACACAAATGATAACATTGTCTAGAACTTAATACACATGCACATGAGTGACTACAAATAAAACTGAGGAAACCTGAGGAGGATTGGTGCTTATATCTATGTCAGTATGTCCGTATTTCCGGTTGTGATATTATAATACAGTTTCGCAAACTGTTACCATTGGGGGAAACTGGGCCAAGTACATGGGAGATCTCTGTGTGTTTCTTTAAAAAAAATTTTTTTTTAAATTTATTCATTTTTGAGAGACAGAGAGAGACAGAGCATGAGTGGGAAAGGGGCAGAGAGAGAGGGAGACACAGAATCTGAAGCAGGCTCCAGGCTCCGAGCTGGCAGCACAGAGCCCAACGTGGGGCTCGAACTCATAAGTTGCAAGATCATGACCCGAGCTGAAGTCGGACGCTCAACTGACTGAGCCACCCAGGCGCCCCTCTCTGTATTATTTCTTAAATTTGTATGTGAGTCTACAATGACCTCGACAACAACAAACAGCATAATATTGCCAGGTTAAAAAAATATAAAGAATTGAGAAGCAGAGAAATAAAATGAAAATAATATTTTCAGACAATTTGCTTTGAATTCCCTCTTGCCTCCAACTTTTACGTTGCTGTTGAGTTCCACCTTTCTTTTTTCTCATCTTGCCTATATTTTTGAATGCCCATACCAGACTAAGAATCATAAAGTGATGAATTCTCTTTGAGCTTAATAGAATAAACCTCTTGAGTAGAAAAAAATTACACGTGGAGAGAGTAGGGTGAGTGTGGGTCAGCAGAGCAAGGTTCAGACTGGTGTCCTTCTGTTGTACGCTCCCCACAGTGTCACCCTCTCAGGAGAGGTTTGCTGACGGCATCCAACTCATTGACCGTTTAGGGGCCAGTGACTCTTCTTTTTGCCAGTCAGATGAGTACTGCCCTCTTGTCACCTGCATTTTGGCCGCTTGCAGGTTTATAAGCACCTTTCTTCAAGGTGAGAGAAAGGTAGAAGGTGGGCTGCTTAGTTTTAATTTGTGTTAGCTGTTCTGCTAAAGGAC